ATTGAGGGGAGTCCAAGTCTTGGTTCTTGGCTGGAACACGACTGCCTGCTCGCCTTGAATTAGGTTTCGAAGTTCGCGTGTCGATCTACTATCATACTGTTTTCTCTGGATGTTCCGTCGGTTCTGCAGTTGTGCTCTGTGGCTATTAAGGGTTTGGTAACTGTGTGCGGTAATATCTCTGTGGTTCAGCAGTCGGGCAGGCGATAGTAGGTTCTTGTCTACAGGTGTGGAACGGTATATCAGCAGTGCTAGATAGGGATCTTGCCCCGAGGCTTCTGCTATTCGTAGAAGATTCTTCACTGTCTGGACTGACCCCTCTATAAAGCCATTACTTTGAGGATACAGTTTCGAACTTGTCACGTGCTCAATGCCCCACTGTTTGAAGAAGGCTGCGAATTCTTGGCTGCTATACTGGGGCCGGGCTCGTTGTCAAATGCCAGCGTTTATGGTATTCCATTCTCTTCAAATACCGACTTGAGATGATGAATGACAGCAGCAGATGTGGTTGAGGTAAGCTTTCTTATGATGGGGTACTTGCTGTAGTAGTCTGTTATCAGCGAGTACCGTCCTCCTTGATGGCAACTTTTTGCCAGGCAAAACTGGGTACATTGTGTGGACGCAAAGGTTCATTTGGCTGACGTTTCAAGAAATGTATGCAGGTGGGGCAGTTAGTGGTTATGTAATATATTACCTAATATCTTTCAGATGCCTGGCTAAAAGATACAGTTTCTAGCTTTCAACTGACACTTCCCTGCACCCAGGTGGCCCTGGTAGATGATTTGTCGTATCTGGGTGCGCAGGTCACTCGGGATCAGAAGCCGGTGTCCCTTTAGGATAAGGCCGTTTTCTACGCTCAGGTCTGGAGGGCATTCGTTTAGATACTCAGGCCACCCTTGGTAAATAACATCTTTCAGATGGCTGAGCACTATATCCTGGCTCGTTTGGTTTCGTATTTCATCTAATTTAGCTGGGCTGGCAGGCGGGATGTTTGTAATCGCATTGACTTCAAGAAGGGGTACGCCTTGGTGTCCTTCGGGAGGTTCTATGCAGAAGACTCTGGAAAGGGCATTAGCAATAACGTTTGTTTTCCCTTGGATGTATCTCGTTTCCACATTGTACCTAGCCATTTTCAGCAGAAGTCTCTGGAGCCATGGCAATGCACTAGGCATGGTGTTCTTTCAAATGCTTTCTAGTGGTTTGTGGTCCGTTTCGATGACTACTCTTTTGCGGAAAATGTGGTGGTTGAGCCTCTCTAGGGAGGGACCAACTAGCAGCAAGAAGCTCTTTTGGATGTTACTCTATCGGGATTCTGTATCACTGGGTGATCTGCTCGCGTAGCACAGTGGCTTACTATTCTTCATCAGGGCACAACGATGCCTTTAGGCTTGCATCGGACTGGATCACATTGTCCTTTTCTGCGTCATAGTAGGCTAGGACAGGTGCTTCAATGATGATTTAACATTCTGGAAAGCTCTGAGGTGCTCTGGTTGTCATAAAAAGAGTGTGTCTTTCTTCATCAATTGTCGTAGGGGTTCCGGGGTCTGTTCTATGATGGGGGAGAATCTGTTCAGGTAGTTGACCATTCCCGTAAAGGTCTGCACCTCAGCAAGGTTCTGTGGGAGGGCATGTCGTTGATGCCTGTTTAATCTTCAGGTCGTCAGCTCTCAGTCCATCCGGGGTCCACGTAAACTCCCTAAACGATGTTTGGTCTACTTTGAACTGGACCTCATCTGGGTTGAACCGTACATTATTGTCCCCTGCTGCGTCAAGGACGTTGAGTATGTGCTGATCATACCCTTTTTCACTTTTGCCATAAACGAAAGGATCATCTGCAATTCCACTCAGGCCGTTAAGCTTTCCGGATACAGTGGACACATTCTCTTGGAACATCTCCACTGCAGGCAAGTCCAAATGGCAACATTTTCCATCTGTACCCTTTGGGTACTGGAGTATGACATCATCTATGGTTCTTACATAGTAGTGGGTGCGTTGAGTTGCTCCGTTCAGGTCACGGAAGTCCAGGCAAAGGCGAATTGTTCCACTTGGCTTTCTTGTAACCACAGTAGAGTTGACCCATGGCTTGTATTCATTGTGCACTTGTTCAAGGATATCTGCTTACCTTAATCGTTCCAGCTCTTCTTGGTAGGCACCTTGCAATTGGACTGGGACTTGCCTCGGGGGGTGGGGTGCACCGGGAAAATGCTCGGGTTGGTTTCTACGTGGTATGAGGGACCTGGGAAGCACCCGACACCAGTAAACGAATCTTAATACTCGTTCAAGAGATATTCTTTTGTCAATGGAAAAGGGTTTGGTTTGCCACGTACATCATACAGTTTCAAGCACTGAGTGGCAGGTTTGCTGTTACTCTCAAAGTCCAGCTTAGCTTTAGAAGATTCAAACTTTGTGCTGACATATTACCTATTACAGCAGGGCCATTAAAATCAACAATTTCTGCCTGTCTACTGACTTGGGGTATGGGTTGTTGGGACCCTTGACGTACACCTGGCATGATCCTAAGTTTGGGATTTCAGTCCCATCATATGCTGTTAACTTCATAGTGGGCTTCTGTAGACTGTCAATTCTACGGCTAAGCTGGTTGTACAGGGACTAGTTGGGTGTGATGTTGGTTTCTGCACCCGAGTCTATCTTACACAAGGAACGTGTTTGCTTTCCTTCGGTGCTCAGCGCCAGGCAAACCTCTAAAAGGCCCTTCTCTTTACAGGACTAACGTGGACATTACTAGCTAAGGGTGTTGCACTAACTGGGCACAAAAACATGTGATCACGGGATGACTGGCTTGGGCTTGGTACTGATTCACTTGCGCCATCACTGGTCGCTTCGATTTCATGCACATTTTTCTTCTTTTGCTTTGACAGACATAACTTTGCTAAGTGTCCTACTTTCTAGCAGTAGTGACCTGTAGCATTCTTCGCTGGGCACTGCTCTCGAGGGTGGGGACATCAGCCACAGTTTCTGCAGGCTTGCAGTTTACTTGAGCCAGTATGAGGAGTTGGTCGCTGGTTTCCTTGGCCTTGATATCCTTTAGGAACATTGATCGAGTACACTTGGGGTATTGATTAGCTGAAGCTGGTTGTCTGCCGACTCTGCTGACTTTGCCATATCATGAACTTCCTTGAAGGTGAAAGCATTTCCTACTTTGAAGCAGTCCTTTCGCAAAAGGTCAGAGTTCATTCCTAGCACAGGGAAATCTCTCATGAATGGATCATTGTGCTGTATCGTATAGTAGGCTTCCTTCGCACGGATTCTCAATTTCGCAATAAATTCTTCCAGAGAGAGGGTACCTTGTCGGTGGTTGTGAATCTCTTACATTGCTATTAACTCATTTGAGTGTGGCTTGACAAAATGTTCGAATCTCATCCAGTAATTTTCCAGCTTTTTTTGCCCATCCGCGGACATGTCCCAGCTGTTTAAAGTTCGGTTCCGTGTTTTCCCGACCAGTATAATAGATGCTTGCATTTGATTTCTTGTTCAACTTTCGCCATCGGCCGGGTAACAGTTCACATCTTTGTTTCCACATTTTGAAGCAATTATATAAGTTGTAGTCTGTGCTCCAGTCGATTGAAGGCCCCTTGTCGATGAATGAGGGACCCGTTATTTTGTTTGTTGTGTCACTCGCTCGTTCGTTCACTGAAGTTGGCAGACTTACACCAATCTCCTCAGTTGGATCGTCGTACATATAAACAGAGAGTGTTCATTTGTTTCTTTTTTACAATCCCACGTCTGAAGCCATGAAAAGATACGCATTAGGTCAAACGCTTTTTTTAAATAATCCTCCGACTCTCATGATTACAAGCTCGGTCGTAGAGAAACACGTGTTTTAGTGAATGCATTGCGTATGCGCAAGGTTGATTATGTAACACAAGTGAACACTTTAGTAGTCGAAAAAAAATACTTAATTAGAAAACTTTGATGGTGAAGCTAACTGGTTGGCCGCGCCGTGTCCATGACGTTTTTTATCTCTGGCAATGATGTAATTATCTCTCGAATCGAGGCCCTTGAATTTTCGAGTATTTATACAAGCGTATAGCCTGCGACCGCAGACGTATTTCCGGTCGTCGCACACACGCGTACTAAATAATCAGTTTAGAAACAAATCGTCCAGTACGATGTAAAAAGTAAATATCCTGAAGAATACTGACCGTCGATAAAGTAGGAAGTGAAAAACAGAGTAAATCCTGTTTCGTGTAGAATTAATCGCCTTCTCATTTCTTATCTAATCTTCAAGTAAGCAAGGCTTAACGACTGTTTTAAGAGCGTTCTTGTTTAGCTATAGTCTCGATAAAAGCTTTCACTTGCCACAGTTTCAGGCAAAATTATTTTCATGCGAAATAGAGTGGGAGGTTTTTACTGAGACAGCCTCTCAAATATTTGTTCCGCTTCTTTATCCATGTTGTAAATAAGGGCATTTATCTTAAGAACGTCACATTTGGCATTGAATTTAATAGCGCACCTGAACCGCTGGAAATGTTGTTTCCAATATGGCCACTCTTAACTATTCTCACACATGCGCAGTACAATCGTGATAAGTTTAAAATACAAAATCGGGCGTTTTCATTTTGCCGAGTTGTCCTTTCAAGAGAGTATCAACAGTGCGCCTACTTTGGAAGTCTGCTGTAAATAATTTTGGGATCCGCCTCCTTCCCCCGGGCAGAATACCTCTTTTATGATATTCTTTAACCCTCTGCGTATTTTTTATCCGACAGGAAGAGCTGACGCTACGAAAGAAAAAATGGATTCCATGGAGAGCCAACTGAGAGAAATGTTAAGAGAGTTTAAATCTAGAAGCAAGGCCAAAGTTATTCTGGAATCAGGTTTATTCATGCTTATTTTGTTGTTCCTGTTTGTTGGAAACTCCTTAACACTCCTGGTTCTGTTGTTAAACCGACGAATGCGAACAATTCCAAACATGTTCGTGGCATCACTCGCCGTCTCCGACTTATTACTAGGAGTTTTGAGTGTAGGTCCTTTAGGCATCCCTACATTAGTGACTTCTCATTGGCCTTTTAATGACACGATCTGTCAATTTCAAGGTTTCATTATTATTACGTTGGTTGTTGCATCGATTCAAACAATGGTCTTCATGGCGGTGAACAGATATTTTAGAATCGTCAAATCGACAAAGTACCGCCGTTACTTCACCAAGACGAAAACCCTAACTATGATTTTTGTGACATGGCTCTATTCTATTTGTGTTCCACTAATTCACTTGCTAAGAGGGAAAAAAATGATCTTTCATCCCGCCAAGTTCTTCTGTTCTTTTCCAATCGAAAGCAGTGCATTTCTGGCCTATGGTTTTCGGCTTTACGTAGGGATTCTTACTTGCGTTATCATCTACTGCTACTTTAGAATCTTCACAACCGTTCGCCGCCACAATAACAATTTTCCTGGCAATCCAATAAGCCCGGTAAACGTAGAAGAAGTTAAGGTGGCTCGCACCATATTCGTAGTAGTGGTGTTTTTTAATCTGTGTTGGATTCCAGTCTTAACAATTGACCTTGTGGACACGGCTCGCCAAAAGTGGACCTTCCCTCCCGAGGCTTACCTGGCATATACATTTATGGCCACAATAAGCAGCGCTTTGAATCCACTAATTTACGGCGTGCTCAATAAGAGTTTTCGCAAGAATTATCTGAAGGTACTACGTTGCAGATGCTGCCGTTCTCAAGCTGTCGTAGAGCCATTGGCTATGCGAGTAAGAGCGAGTGTTGTCGCCATGGGACCATAGCCTTAATTAAAAGATACAGATGGAAACGAATTAGCAATTTAGGTTGTGTCGATTCACACATTGGCCGTTTTCACAATTGAGACTGACTATCTGCATGTTCAAAACCCGTCAAAATTGACAGACAAGCAGACAGAAAAAATCAGACCAATTATTCGTCCAAAATTAGAACCGTTCCGTTTTCACATAAAGACTGATTATTATTCAACGGATAACCCGTCTGAGACGGATGATCCTCTCTCGTGTGAAAACGGTCATTGGCCTTAATGACGGTAAACAGGTGTTATAGATTCGTCAAACCAGCCAATTACCGCCGCTATATAATCACCGAGAAGGAAACCCTAGAGATGATTCTTGTGTGGTGGCCTTATTTCATATGCGCCTTATTTTATCCTCCAATCGAAAACAGTGCATTTATGGCCTACGGTCAACAACTTTATTTACAGGGTTTCCAAACAAACTGCATCATCTTTTATTGTTATCTTAGAATCTTCAAAACCCTTCGCAGTCATAACAATTTTCATCTATCTGGTAATTCAGTGAACGCATTAAACGTAGAAGTTAAGGTGGCGCGCACTGTATTCGTCACAGTGGTATTTTTAATCTGTATTGGACAACTTTCTAAAGATGGATCCCTGCTCCTGAGGTTTCCATGGCATAAGCGTTTCTGGCCACTTTATGCGACGTGATAAACAAGACAAACAAGAGCTTTCGTGAGAATTGTTTGAAGGTGCTACGCCGCAGGTAGTGGGCACTACCGGTGTACTGAATTAAATAAATAAATAAATAAATAAATAAAAAAGCACTCCTTCGGAGCCAAGTAATGGTCTCCTGAGTATTATATTTGAACTTACAAACAACCGACATAAGCATTGAAAAATTGTTAGGCCTAATTGACACTATTGTAGGAGGAGGAGCTTTGACGGGGACTACGTGATTCCTTCAACAACATAACCAAGTCTTTGTGTTCGGCTCGAACTAAGTTTTCACAGTGACTTTCGGGATCGTACTCTCCAGTAACCGTTGCTTCACGTCGTTTTAATAGTTGCCAATAAAGACATCTGCTTAAAAAAAATTGATGCTTACGGAAGCCTAATTTTGGATTATGAATGGGTAATTTTCTCTTTCATATTCTTTTTTTACACTAAAAGCATCACGGCTTTTAGCAAATTTACCCGGTTTTCAAAACTCCAGGTAGAATTGTGATTATAATGTCTTTATTCATTTGATAAAAATACATATCAAAAGTTACAGTGGTGGAGACTAAGTTATTTTAAAAAACATACTAACTAACAAAGCGCTTAGAAATTCAAAGTAACATAATAAAGGTCAGAGATTGCTAATTTATACTTAAAATTTAACCTATTCATAAAACTATTTTTAAAGCTTCGGTGTTTACTTTAGGCAACAGGCTACAAATACATCTTAGCTTTGTCGAAGTCACAGGGTATTAATTAATAGTATACATTAATTTGTAAAAGTTAGCATAACATCGAAACAAAAGTTCTTAACACTGAAAGCAACCCGTTTTTTTAAAAGCAATAAAATAATAATTTCCTGTACGTCAAAACATCATAAGGACACACACTGCTGTTACGGATTTAAGAACTACCATTAATGAAAATAAGAGTAGCGAAAAGCCTTATCTTAATTAATTTTTAGTTTGCATTGTTTAATTTGCGTGCAAATTTCCCCTTTCCTCTCACCTTTCAGTTTCATTACGTTCTCTATTTTCCTACTAATGAGTCACTTATCCGTTGCGTTTGAATTTTGTTGTTACTTCAATCAACGGTTACTTCGAGAGATTTATGTAAGTGTAGCATACAAAACGTCTAGTTAAAAGTTGAATATTTTTACGCTAGGCGTTTTTTCCTAATGTTTATCACCGCGATTTGCCTCAAAAGTTCAAAAGTGGAAAATGTTTTTCATCGCAACTGAACTTCATAAGCCACTATAAAAATGCATGTAACTTTGAGAATGAATATATCGAGAGAGCTGGAAAAGTGTCTGCAATTGTCTCTATTCGGGCGAAGAGACGGATGACATTTCAGAGTATTTAACTGCCCAAGTTGCATTGAAATCGAAGCGATAGCATGTAGCACACCTGCCTGGTGCACCAATGGACTCACTCTTAATATTGTTCTGCCTGACGTTTGCACAGGTAGCCCAAGCTCATTGTGAGGGCCCTGAACAACATTATCCTATTTAGCTAATTGATTATTCATACGGCATCAATTATAAGACGTTGTATGAGAATTACCCTATTTCTCCATAACTGAGTGAACATGCATTAAAAGATGACAATAGTTTCTCTCTACTGTCATCTGGGTGAAAAACCGTCGCTCGAGAAAAGGCGTTAAACAGTGCCTAGGAGGCCTGGAATGCAGCCAGAACGTAAAGAGAAGAATATTTCTTATACAACGTCTTATAATTTTCATGCTGTAAGAATAATTAATTAGCTTAGAAGGGTAGTGTTGTTCTCGGGTTCTTTGCATCCTAAGAGGCCTGAAACGAAGTCAACACAGAAATATACATACGAGAATACAAAATGCAAGCTAAAAAAGAAAATTTTAATGCATGTTTCGCTCAATTATGGAGAAATAGGGTAATTATCTTACAACGTCTTATAATTGTTGACGTATGAATAATTAATTAGCTAAATAAGATAACGTTGATCAGGGCTTTCAAGGTGAGCTTGGGGTGCCTGTGACGTTTGTAGTAGAATCCATTTCACCTGTCGCAGAAACACCTGCCCTCGTTGAGGAAAACTAAGTTATAAAATATTGAACTCTAGGACTGAGTGTTGCTAAAGGCAGTTGACAATAGTCGATCTCGGAGCTCAGTTTTATAGCGGGGCTCCCGCGCGCGCGAAGCGCGCGTGGGACAGAGCCCCATACCCATGGAATATGGTCAACCTCTTTTCGTTTGGTTGTCACGTGATTGACCGAGCGTACGTACGTACGCGTCTACAGATTGTATGGGTGGGATAGGGGAGACTATCAAAAGGAAGGGAGGGGTGTCTCAGGCGTGTCTTGGCAAGTCCACATCTTTAATATAGGACATTGACAATATGGTCAATTGACAGCTGTCCAAACAGGATAGCCACTGACCAGTATCCCATGACCATATCGCGGGCTTATGTGTCAACTCATCGAGGTGACGTGATTTATTTGGAAGCTGTCCGCTGACCAGTTAACTGTTTTACTAGATCGCGAACAACGTTCAATCTCATACTTTTACTAGTTTGGGAGCACAGGAAAACTGATAATGCACACATATTGGACATCAATGTTTTGATCAATTGACAGCTGTCAAAACAGAGTACCCGCTGACCAGTATCACTTGACCGTATCGCGGGCTCAGGTGTCGACCCGTCGAGGTCAAGTATTTTTTGAAGTTATCCGCTGACAAGTAAACTAGTTTTCAAGTAATCGCAGGCTCAAGTTCAATTTTTTTTCTTAATTCATATGAAATATGTTGTGTTTATGTGCTGCACAATTAAAATTTTGATTGCAAACTGACCTCGGACGTGAAAATTCAGCCAGCTGTTACAGGCAGGGAAGACAGTTGCTTTTGTTTTTTTCTCACAATGGTCACGCGTTGGTCACGCTCTACGTCCAATTTTTATGCTCTGATTGGTCAAAATTTGACAGGTGAGTTCATGCGCAAAATTTATGCACCATCTTGAATCTTGTTTACTTTAACAGCTGAAGCTGACAGAGTTTTGTGTCAACTTGTGATGTTTTTAACTGTCTTTTTCCACTGGATGTACAAAATGAAATTCAGCTGCTATCAGGAGTCTTCTGTTACTCATGGCTAGTTTGTTTATTGGGTTTTTGGTTGAGAAAACGTCGCTTGTCAAAGTCGGAAGTCCGATTTCGGATGGCATCGTTTTCGTTTTCACCTTGCTTGATGCGTAAGAGGATTGCAAAGTCTGAAGCGATACTGGCTTTACCTGATAACTTTCAGGAGCTACATCTCGAATGGTAAGCCAGAGAAATTATTGTATTTCATGTTTGTTTTTTGTATCTAATTTAATGAAGTGGAGCGTAGTTTATGCGGGAATTTAGTTTATGCGCGTTTGTAAGATTTGAGACAACGATCTCACCGAGTATCTGGATTGATATAATCTTACAGAACTTTAAAAAGCCTTTAGACAGTTTCTCACCGCAAATAGAAAGAAAATGTTCCAAAGAATCTTTAGTTATAATTCTAGCCGGAAAAGAAAGCTTTGAGCGATTTTCTTGCCTCGACTACGTCTTTGAAAAAACAAACACCGGGAAGCTGGCTTAAAACATAAACTTCAGCAAACTTAAGCTTGAAGCTTGAAGATTCAGGATATTTAGGGACACTTTAATACTTGTCTTCCTGAATGAAAATTGTTGTCTCTGTTTATGTTTCACCGAATTATATTTCTTTTATTGATTGTTAGTAGTCTCTCTTGCAATTTTAATCGCTATGCCGATTGTTTTCAGTCGTTCAGTGAACATCGCTTGCAGGAGTTCTCAAAATGCCGCGCGTTAAACCATCAAATAAAAAATAAACATGATAAATTCTTTATTATCTTGGAGCGTAACTCTGTTAATGTTCATTCAAACACTCGCTACAGCTCGCACTACAAAAGTGAGAACCCGGATGGCCGTATAGGTGATTTTGAAAAATTTTTTTAACAGTTTATGAATATTGAATGAGAGCAATTTGTATTGTGAAATACTGCTTTCTGTCCATGGTATAAAAGGTTGGTTTACACGCACCCAGATTTGTTGGCAAGATTTTGCAAAGTAAACTTGTCGAACGCCAAAACGTTGGCCTGGTTTTTTTTCTAAGCCTAATTGATCTACGGTGATCAATAGCCATTACGGCTCTTAAATGTGATAAAAGATGATTACCAGTTTTTGAGTGTACATATGAGGCTATCAACTCGATGTAAGATTTGGTTCACTCTTGGGCTGCTTGCAAATTATTTTTCTCTAAAATCAGGTAGCCTTTCCCTCAAAAGTCACATAAATGTGCTCTAAAGTTAACTGAATTGTGGAATTCGAATACAAGTTTATTGTTTAATTTAAATTATAAATTTAATAATGGGAGCCTCGCTTTTAGCCCTGGCTAAATCTATATATTAAAGTATTATTTTTAATCTACAAGGATTTGGATACTGCCACAAGGGGGCTGCTGTTTCAAGAAAACCTGTAAGAACCACAGGTAACTGACATCACTTCTTACTCTATTAACCTTTGTGTATTCTATACACAAGTATCAATTGTGGTTCTATTTTAAATCCTTAATGTAATATTTGGACGGATGATTTTTCTAGGTTTTCTACTGCAAAGTAATAGTAACACAAGTAAAACACGACAAAAAAGTCAAATTTAACGTGTATTTTACACGCAATAATTTTTTCAGTGGCTAAAACCAGTTAAACACTCTAGTTCATAAAATAAACAAGGTTTCCTTGTCGAGTTTTCTTTAAAAGAGGTTCTTAACAGTGGGCGAGTTAAGACATGCGCTAAGTAATCCTTCTCCTGGCAGAGGGGAATACCTCAACTCTTTCAGTGAACTCGTTTAACCCCTTCTGGCGTATATTTTTTTCTTGCTAGCAAGAACTGTTTGACGCTTAAAAAAATGTATTCCACAGTTTCTTCAGTTTACCCAGTTTCCTCCCGTCTTATTTTCGTGTTCGCGCTTTTTTAATTCAGCGGGCGGACTATCTCGGAGCCTGGAACAGGCTAATTCCAACCTGTGTTATAATCTACTGCTACTTTAGAATCTTTACAACAGTTCGCCACCACAATAGCAATCTTCATCACCCTGGCAATCCAATAAGCACGGTAAACGTCGAAGAACTTAAGGTGGCTCGCCCCATACTTGTTACAGTGGTGTTTTTTAATTTGTGCTGGATTCCAATCTTTACAATTGACATTTTGGACACGATTTTTCAAAGTTGGATCTTCCCTCCCGAGGTATATGTGGAATATACTTTCTTTGGCGACTATAAGCAGCGCTTTGAATCCTTTAATTTACGGTGTGCTCAACAAGAGTTTTTGCAAGAATTATCTGAATGTACTACGTTGCAGATGCTGCCGATCTCAAGCTGTCGTAGAACCATTCGCTCTGCGAGTAAGAGCGAGTGTTGTCGCCATGGTACCATTGCCTTAATTACAAGATACAGATGGAAACGAATTAGCAATTTTGGTTGTGTCACATTTAACTTTTTTTTACCTGGAGTGTGACAGCTGGTCTGACCTATTTTCTTATCTCAACATTGAGTCTCGAATAATCACCAGGTCGGCCCATGAAGCATTTTACTTGTTGCATGAAAATGTTATTAGAAACTGAATCATTGATTGGCTTAGATTTATCAGTAGGGGTTAATATAGGTCCTTTATCCATTACAGCATTAGTGACTTCCCATTGGCTCTGCGAGTAGGTGAACAGGTGTTATAAATCCGTCAAACCAGCCAATTACCGCAGCTATATAATCACCGAGAAGGAAACCCCAGAGATGATTCTTGTGTCGTGGCTTTATTTTGAATGCGCTTTATTTTATCACCGATTCGAAAACAGTAGCGCATTCAACATTTGTAGGCTATGCCTATGGTCAACAACTTTATCTACAGGGGTTACAAACTGCACCAACAACTTAGAATCTTCACACTTCTTCGCAGTCATAACAGTTTTCGTTAATGGTCTATCTCGGAGCCCAGCCATTTTATTAAAATAAGGTATTAGTTCTAATCTACAAGAATTAGGTGCTTCTGTAATTGTTTTGGCTACTGCCACAAGGGAGCTGCTGTTTGAAGAAAGCCTAAAAGAACCACAGGTAACTGAACGTCACTCATTCTTCTATTCCACTTTGTGTGATTATATACCCAAATATCAATTGTGGTTCTATATTATTCTTACAGTACGTTGCCCAGTATCGTGCCACTTTAGTCAACATTGCAATAACTTTCCTTTCTTAGTCGCAAGAGTTCTGAAATTTGGCCCAGAGAAAATCTATTTAGTCGTCAATATGACGAAAGACAGTTTAATTTTTTTGCCTTTGTTTCCATTGCGAAATTATTATTTTCAGGCTCCTATGTTGCCCAGTATCCGGCCAGCTGGCCCAGTATCCGGCCACAACAATACCCGTAATTGTACATAAATTTCGACAGGCAAGCGACTTATAAGCTTCTTCTATTATAGTTCTTACTCCCTTGTCTAGGAACTTTTTCACTGATTTAAGGATCGCATCCGTGGACAAGCCAAAAACGCGGTTTGCAAGCTCAATTAGCTTATCTGCCATCCGGTTTATTCCTCATTTTTGTTAATCAAAAAAAAAAAAAAAAAAACCTGGCAAAGGGATCTCAATCCGACGGTCAAAAGTAACTCTCCTGTTTAGTCTGACCTGCAGTGTTGATTTCTTCTTGCTCAGTCCCCACATTTGGCCTGCTTTTCTAGCACTAATTCCTCCTTCTTACATTTTAAATCCCTTGATACATTTTTTTCAGACCGTTGCAACCCCATTCTTGCAGTCACAAGTGGGGAAAGTATGAGAATTCGCGGTTCAACTCCGACGCTTCCGGTCACGCTAAACAAGCCGTGTACACGAAATCAAGTCGCCTCTGAATAAATGAAAAAAATTTCCATAAGGAGTTGAGTAAAATTACATTTTTCTATTGTATCGTATGTTCTAAGCTTTAATTATAGATATGAAATAAATATTATCGGGATAATGCACGCAGCTAATTCATTGATTCTGTACAGCAAAGAAAAAACTGGCCGGATACTGGGCACCTAACATAGTGAATGTTTCTGGCCCCCGATAATAATTCCAAAAAAGTTGAATTTCAAGAGGAATTAATAAAGTTTCTGAGAACCTGCCGACTTCTCTAAGTATCTTGAGTTCACTCTTAAATATAAAAAAGTTTTCTTTGAAAATATCACATATTACCAACCCTTTTCTAAACAGCACGTCTAGTTTTGCTGCGCACGTAAATACAGCTGTAAATATTAGCCGTGAAAGGTTTACTCACCTGAACAGAACAGCGCCTTTTGCAACTGTTTCGAAAGCTATAAACTCGCCAAAATTTTCATCTTAAAGCTGAAATGTTAAGCATTCATTTGAAATACTTCATTTACCGAGATCTGAAAAGGGCGCCTCAAAAATTGAGTTTTTGTTTTAAGTGGCGGGATACTGGTACCATCCGGATACTGGGCAACATACTGCAATGTAATATTTGGACTTGGAACATTTTTCTAGGGTCTTTCAATGTTACTCTATCGGGATTCTGTATCAGTGGGTGATCGAGTAGCACACTGGCTTGCCATCCTCCATCAGGGCACAACGATGCCTTTTAGGCTTGCATCAGACTGGATCACATTGTCGTTTTCTGGGTCATAGTAGGCTAGGACAGGTACTTCAGTGATGATTGGTTTAACATTCTGGAAGGCTCTGAGGTGCTCCGGTTACCATAAAAAGGGTGTGTCTTTCTTCATCAACTGTCGTAGGGGTTCCGAGGCCTGTTCTATGATTTCTATGATGGGGGAGAATCTGTTCAGGTAGTTGACTATTCCCCTAAAGGTCTGCAACTCAGCAAGGTTCTGTGGGAGGGCATGTTGTTGATGGGTTTAATTTTGTGGTCGTCAGCTCCCAGTCCATCCGGGGTCCACGTAAACCCCCAAAACGATGTTTGGTCTACTTTAAACTGGACCATGTCTGGGTTGAACCGTACATTATTGTCCTTTGCTGTGTCAAGGACGTTGAGTATGTGCTGATAATGCCTTTTTCACTTTTGCCATAAACGAAAGTATCTCTTTTGGAACATCTTCACTGCAGATAAGTCCAAATGGCAGCCTTTTCCATCTGTACTTTCCCAATGGGGTACTGGAGTTGCAGAGTTTGCTGCTTTCGTCATCAAGTTTACTTGCCAGTCTGGGAATCAAGGATGCTAAAATGGGGGGCACCGCTGACTGTGGGTATGACATCATCCATGGTTCTTACATAGTAGTGGGTGCGTCGAGTTGCTCCGTTCAGTTCACGGGAGTCCAGGCAAAGGCGAATTGTTCCCTTTGGCTCTCTTGTAACCACAGTAGAGTTGACCCATGGCCTGTATTCATTGTGTACTTGTTCAAGGATATCTGCTTACCTTAATCGTTCCAACTCTTCTTGGTAGGCACCTTGCAATTGGACTGGGACTTACCTCGGGGAGTGTTGTACTGGGGAAATGCTCGGGTTGGTTTCTATGTGGTATGAGGGACCTGGGAAGCAAACAACACTAGTAAACAAATCTTGATACTCGTTCAAGAGATATACTTTTGTCAATGGCAAAGGGTTTGGTTTGCCACGTATATCATACAGTTTCAAGCACTGAGTGGCAGGTTTGCTGTTACTCTCAACAGTAACGTCCAGTTTAGCTTTAGAAGATTTAAATTTTGTGCTGACATATTGCCTATTACAGCAGGGCCATTAACATCAACAATTTCTGCCTGTCTACCGACTTGGGTTGTTGGGAACCTTGACGTACACCTGGCATGATCCTAAGTATGGGGTTTCAGTCCCATCATATGCTGTTAACTTCATAGAGGGCTCCTGTAGATTGTCAATTCTAGGGCTAAGCTTGTTGTACAGGGACTAGTTGGGTATGATGTTGGTTTCTGCATCCGAGTCTATCTTACACAAGGAACGTGTTTGCTTCCTTCGGGGCTCAGTGCCAGGCAAACCTCTAAAAGGGTCTTCTACTTACAGGACTAACGTGGACATTGCTAGTCAAGGTTGTTGCACTAATTGGGCACAAAAACATGTGATCACGGGATGACTGGCTTGGTTCTAGTACTGATTCAGTTGCACCATCACTGGTCGCTTCGATTTCATGCACATTTTTCGTCTTTTGCTTTGACAGACATACCTTTGCTAAGTATCCTACTTTCTGGCAGTAGTGACATGTAGCATTCTTCGCTGGGCACTGCTCTCTAGGGTGGGGACCCCAGCCACAGTTTCTGTAGGCTTGCGGTTTACATCAGCCAGTATTAGGGGTTGGTCGCTGGTTTCCTTGGCGTTGATATCCTTTACGAACATTGATCGAGTATACTTCGGTATTCATTAGCTGAAGCTGTTTGTCTGCTGACTCTTCTGACATTGCCATATCACGAACTTCCTTGAAGGTGAAAGCATTTCCTACTTTGAAGCAGTCCTTTCGGAAAAGGTCAGAGTTCATTTCTAGCAGAAAAAAGTCCCTCATGAATGGATCATTGTGCTCGATTGGATAGTAGGCTTCCTTCGCACGGATTCTCAGTTTCGCAATAAATTCTTCCAGAGCGAGGGTACCTTGTCGGTGGTTGTGAAGCTCCTACATTGCCATTAACTCATTGGAGTTTGTCTTGACAAAATTTTAGAATCTCATCCATTAATTTTCCAGCTGTTGGAAAGTTCGATTCCGTGTTTTCCCGGCCAGTATACTAGATGCTTGCATTTGATTTCTTCAACTTTCGTCATCGGCCGAGTAACAGTTCACATCTTTGTTTCCACATTTTGAAGCAATTACATAAGTTGTCATCTGTACTCCAGTCGATTGAAGACCCCTTGTCGTTGAATGAGGGACTCGCCATTGTGTTTGTTGTGTCACTCGCTCGTTTGTTCACTGCAGTTGACAGACTTACACCAGTCTCCTCAGTTGGATTGTCGTACATATAAACAGAAAGTGTTCATTTGCTTCTTTTTTCTAATTCCACGTCTGACACCATGAAAAGATACGCATTAGGTCAAAAGGCTTGTTTTTAATCATCCTCTGACTCTCTATGAATACAAACTCGGTCGTAGAGAAACATGTGTTTTAGTGAATGCATTATGTATGCGCAAGGTTGATTATGTAACACAAGTGAACACTTAAGTAGTCCTAAAAAGGAAGAATCTTAATTAGAATACTTTGATGGTGAAGTTAACTGGTTGGGTGTTGTAAACTTTCATTGTAAATTGCAAATGAGTCGCAAAGGACGCGCCATGTCCATGAAGTTTTTTTTTATTTCGGGCAATGATGTAATTAACTCTGAATCGAGGCCCTTGAATTTTCGAGTATTTATGCAAGCGTAAAGCCTGCGACCGCAGACTTTTTTCTGGTCGTCGCTAACACGCGTACTAAATAATCAGTTCAGAAACAAATCGAATACGATATAAGAAGTAAATATCCTGAAGAATACTCGACCGTCGATAAGGTAGGAAGTGAAAAACAGAGTAAATCCTGTTTCGTGTAGAATTAATCGCTTCCTCATTTCTTATCTAATCTCCAAGCAAGCAAGACTCGAGACGGTTTTAAGAGCGTCCTTGTTTAGTTATAGTCTCGATAAAAGCTTTCACTTGCCACAGTTTCAGGCACAATTACTTTCATGCGAAATGGAGTGGGAGGTTTTTACTGAGAAAAGCCTCATAAATATTTGTTCCGCTTCTTTATCCATGGTGTAAATAAGGGCATTTATCTGGAGAACTTCACCTTTGGCGTTGAATTTAATAGCGCACCTGAACCGCTTGAAATGCTGTTTCCAATCTGTCCACTCTTGACTACTCTCGCACATGCGTAGTACAATCGACCTAATTAAGTTATTCTCTCGTGACAAGTTGAAAATACAAAACCGGAATTTTTCCTTTTTGCCGAGTTTTTGTTTCAAGAGAGTATCCACAGTGCGCCTAGTTTGGAAGTTTGCTGTAAATAATTTTGGGATCCGCCCAATCTCGTTCCCAGAGTCCGCGTTGCTTTGTCCAGCGGAACGGGCAACGGGGACCTTTGGGATAAACCGTTTCAACTCGAGTTTTCGTTGGTTGACCATCTGAGCATGAGCAGTAGAGCCAGGAGTCAAAAGGTAAATAAAGATGGAAGGAAAGACAGCGCCGAACGGGTTTTCAAGTTGTTGTTAAACGTGGTAAATCAAATATTATGCTCTTGAACGCTAATCTGAGGTCTGGCAAAGCCTTGAAAGGAAGGGGAGTTTGCTTATTCTACCTAAACGAAAGCGATATCGGCTTTAGCAACGAGGTACACAAGATAACGCTTTAGCTTAATCCAGCTCAGTCAAATCCGTCTGCGGAAACAAACATTTACTTGCAAAGGAGTCCTCGATAAAGAATATTCGGCCTATGCGATTGTAAGGTTGTAAATTAAATAAAACAAGCTGATGCGAAGCATTTTTCGTACACTTTGCTCTGACTACTGGTGAAGAAATGTCTGCGAGATGCCCAATTCAAAGTGGCTACATATCCCAACGTTTGGGAAAGAATTGAGAAACGTGGACTTGAAATAGAAAAGAGTGAGTTGGTTTGTTATTTCTTTTTTCATTTTGTTAACTTCTTCTTGTAATGGAAATGATTAACCATAGCAAAATTTGGCATTGTTTAGAAATATCTCTTTTTCAGTTATTTAGTTTTTAAAAGAGAAGTAATATATCAAACATGAGATGCAGTGTTTCATCACCAGATGAAACACCGAGAAGAGAGTTGAAAATACGACTCGCTGCGGAGTATTTTTGACGAACTTCGAGGTGTTTCATCTGGTGATGAAACACTGTGTCGAATGTTTGATATTTCTTCTCAAACAAAATCATTTTTGAAGGAGAAATTAAGGATGCAAATACTAAGCAGTGTTTCATCCGATTTTCAAACACTCATTAAACATTAATTTCCTTTGTATTTTCTTAATGAATTATTAATGAGTTTGAGAAGTATTATTACAAACATACTGTGGGGTTGATAATTTTTCAAGTTAATTAGTATTTTCAGTCCAATGAAAGTTCAGTTATCTTCTGAAGCAATACAAGCTGCAGTGAAACTTTGCAAGAAGTCTACTCCTGATAAAATATTGAGTTCTACAGTTTTGCCTCCTTTACAGAGTCACTTTATGGACATTCTGGTGTCTTTTTGTCCTGATAATGTCGTATATTATTTTGTTAACTTGAATTTTTAGTAAGTTTCCTCCACCGCCACCACATATCACCTATCCTTTCTTTATTTAGGGGCTGATTACAAAATTGGTCGAACAAAAAATTGGGTGGACAAAATTGTCAGTAAATTCACCTGCAACAGAACCTCTATTGAGTGGACAACCTTTAGCGGCCTCTTGTCCCTTTCTTGAGAGTGGCCACTTGAAAAAGTTTCCCTGTCCCAGGGTTTAAAAAAAAAATTAAAGAAAAAAAAAAAAAAAAAAAAAAACAGTAGGCAGCGATAGGCCAAATCATAAGACTTTTGTCCAATGAATGACTAGATCCCACTGGAAACATCAATGGATTCCACTGGACTTCTTATTCGTGGGTGACTTAAAAATATCAATTATGTCAGTTGTCTGTAGCATTCTTGCCTCAGATCATGACTTAAAGTATGAGGTATATTAGGTGTGTAGGGTGCTTTTCCAGGGTGATGGCATAAAGAATGAGGTATTTTACAAGTAGGCTTCCGGAAGTCAGGTGGACTGACTGACTGTCGCTATTGACAAAATACATGAGGATGGTACCCTACTTTACCCACATTTTCTTCGTTTTATGTCATTTGTTTGGCGGTTTTTGCCAGTCACCAGCTTCTGGAAAATCCTAGCTTTACCAGTTACTGGTATTTACAGTTTACTTGGTAAGAGGGATTACACCTTTTTTTTTCTGATACAAATTTTAGATACATCTAGCAATATGTTCTTGGACAAGGAAATTACTAACTACACCAACTACAGCAACTACAGAAGGTACGGTAATTGTAGTGGGCAAAGTGGGCATGGAATGTCTCTATATTCGTGACGGTTATCATGAATCCATTACCTACGTTGGGAGTTGTTACGTCCGTTAGCACGTAGCTTAAAGACTGATATTTTTGGTCTCTGTATTGCACTTTGCTGATGTCAATCGCTTTTGTACTGTAAAGGAAAATTACTTTGATTATATCTCTTGCAGATACAAACGAGTGTGAGAGTAGTCCGTGTTTGAACAACAGAAATTGCACTGACCAAATCAATACATTCAACTGCAGCTGCCGTCCAAGATTTGCCGGGAATCGATGTGAAATTGGTTAGATTACCAGTTTTAGCTAGCTACAATTTTGCATTCAGTCTTAATTATAAAAGGGCGTCGACGCCCGGGATCCTAATTTTGACGTGTGCTTTGATATCATTCTGTTACAGACGTAAACGAGTGTAACAGTAACCCCTGTCTAAACAACGGAAAATGCACTGACCGAACCAACGGATTCAATTGTAGTTGTGCACTTGGATTTTCTGGAAAGCGATGTGAAATAGGTGGGAAACAAGACTAA